TTTTCCGGTGTAATAAGTTCAACAGATATGTAAGTTTTGCAAAATATTTTAATTTTATTTTGTCTTAGCTTTTTATGCTTTAAAACGTTTCGTTTAACAATTTGTAAGTTGTGTTTCTATGCTTGAAAGCAATTCTTAGTCTTTTATCCATCAAAAGACTTTTATCAGTTTGTGCCATTTAATGTTGGTATTCACTTACGCACTGTTTGAATTAGAAATTACTAACATGATTCTGTTAGATGTTCAACGGTATTATCATTATATAAGTAATTAAGGTACAGAAGTTAGGGGAAGAAACCAGAAGCTATTCATGTGAGGAGGAGAGATTTTAAAATGTTGAGCTAGAAAGTAGTCAGAAACATACAAATGTATTGTAATAAGTTTGTAAGTAAATAAAAATTAGTGAAGAAATATTGTAATTTTAAGGAACATATTAACTTTCTTCTATTCAACGGTCTTCATTCGTTTTCTCTCTTATATATTATATGCTTTTGCACTACTAACAACTTTTAGTGCACATTCTGATAGCGAAGTGTTAAATGCTGTGACTGTTGAACATTGTGAGACTTCATCCGTCTCTTCTTCTGATGCACTGATGATAGATACACGATCAAACAGTGTAGCATCAACAGAAGATTTAAATGAAAGTCAGGAATTATCATCATCTATTGGTGAAGTCAAGGATGCAATAGATTTGGCTCAATTTTCGAAAACTTTACATAGCAGTTGCACTGATGCAAAAATCACTGAGAGTCATCTGCATTCACATAACGAAGATTCAACAGTCAGGTGTTTTGTTTAATCAATCATTAATTTGCTGAAAGTAATTAATCTCATGGACAAAATAAAAAGCAAAGAACTGTGTTGGCTTCTGATTCACATAATCAACATCAGGAAGATTTGCTGTATAGCATTCGGAATCTATTTACGGATACACGTAACACATAAATCACAAAAGATTTGCTTTCGTTTTTTTTTCTGCACATTTTTGGAAAAGTGATTCAAATATGTGATTTTTTCTTTATTATTGACACGGCTAACATTATTTTACACTTTTTAATGTCTCTTGTAGGTACGCACTTTATTATATTAATATAACATTGGATTCGAAAATCAACAAAATATAGTTTATCGTCACAATTGTATGAGCTTTTAAAAATTTGGTATTTTGTCTCAATGGAATAAGTTTACTAGAGAATTATTACCTAATATACATTTATGAATTTCTATTACCTTAATAATTCTTTCCTTTCTTTCACTTCTCAGATTTTAGAACAAGTAAATGTCAAGCAACAACTGATAGCGAAAGTTACAAATTTGCGGAACAGTTTCTGGATCAGAGGAATGGTTCTGCTCTATCAAATTTAAATGATGTTCTGATTTTGAATGCAGCAGTTAACAGTTTTCTTTGGGCCAGTGCAGGTATATTATTTGAATTCAAAAATGCTTTTTTTGCTATCAAATTTTTTACATTTTTTTGTAAAATCCAATCAAGTAGTTGATATTTTTGGGCAGTCATCTTCTCGATGCAGTATTCTCAACTCTCATTCTCACTTTGCTTATTCTATATTTCTATTTAGTCAAGACTAAAGTAGTAATTTTATTGATGTGTCTGAGTAATGCATTAGAGCATTGATAGTGCGATTGAGCTGTTTTTGAATTATCTGAGAGAAATTTCTTTTGTGAATTCTCTGGATTTCATGTTGCTTACTCTTGGTGCTGAAAGTGTCCAAATTGATTACAGTTTTTGTCAAATTGATATTTGTATTTTTGACAACACTCATATATCAGTACTGAAGGAAAAGAGAATTTATGGACGTGTAGATCGGAAGTTTTGAAGTGATCTTGTTCAGAGATAATTTTGTAGCTGCGGGTACGGATGGAGCAAATGCTTTCATTACTCCGGAATTACTTGCATCGCTCTCAGCTGCAGGTTTAACACCTTTAGGAGTTCCATGCGCTCCAAATCTTACCGACAGTATGTTTAGTTTAATATTTTCATGAGATCACAATTATTGTATTTGTCTTATTAAACATAGTTTGCTTTCATTTCCTGCTATTACATCTTCATTTCTTTAATTATTCATTCTTATGCTTACTTTGCTAGCATGGCTTGTCTTGCTTGAAATGTTTTTTGTATTAGATATGCATGCTTAGTATTACATTAATGGAAATGATTGTTTTTTACTTGCTGCATGTTTGAGTCAATTATCTGTTCTTGTAATATTTTATGCTCTTTTAATGTTTTTTTTTCCTTAAACAGCAAACAATTGGATTTCAAATGGAATATACCTCATCATGAATCCAGTGATTACCTTAACACCATTCATATTGGATGAAATTGGATTGATATTAGTAAAATAATGGGTACCACAATTATTCTTTACAGTATACCATCTTCTGTAGGATATTATAAAGCCGCATCAAAGCAAATTATTATTGACTACAAATATGTGTCAGGAAGCAGTACAGCATTATTAATGAAACACGATATTCTTAAAAAGTGACAATTATTCAATAGTTTCATCATCAGATAACTTGGAGAATCAGCAAAATTCCTTGAAGCCGAATGAATTCTCTTGCAAGGCATCGTATGCAGACATTTATGAATCATCATCATCTGCTCCAAAATATGAAACGTTAAAACCGCTTGATCCATCATCACTGCCATGCATTTCTTCAAATGAAGCAATGTTACCTCCATGTGGAGTTTTACTTCTAAATCGAAAGATTGAGTTTACTCCCGAAACACCGTCATTATCTTGTATTTGCGATGGTAGGTGATTTTACCTTTTTATTTCCTAACCCCTCAGTTTTGTGATGTCTTTGTGCTTTATACGTTTGCAGACTACGCTTTACTTATCACAACGTCATCTTTTCAAATTTGTAGAATTAAAACAAAATTTCTGGTAGCAAATAATTCAATTTTTGGTTATCGTCATTATTTAATAATGATGAAGTTAATGATTCAGTGAAAAATGGTTTCATATTCTAACCTCTTGAGAGAATCACAATTCCCTTAGCTATTAAATTAGAAAGTTTCTCTTTTATAATTATCAGTATTAGGAATTATTCAGTACTTAATGTTAATAAAAATTAGGAGTAACACATATACCTTTACTATAAGCGCTCAAATGAAAGAAAAAACCATATAATTTCATTTTCCATTACAAGTTCCCAATATGCAAATTTCGGTTTTAATTTATATACCGTTATTGTTCATAGTTTAACATTCATGAAAATGGACCCCATTTGGGACGGTTGTGACGATAACTCTTTTTCTGGTGGGTATTTATTTTTATCTTCTGCGGTACATCCCAAGTAGCTTTTTTTGAGCATTTTTATGGTTAATTTTTTACATTAATTTTTTATTTAGTGCTATCAGTTTTAATTTAAAAAATATATAATCATTCTATTAATAATCAAAAAACTGAAAACGAATATTATAGAATTTAAACGAATAAAGTTTCTTTTGTAAGTAATAAAAATGAATATTATTAAGATCCATAAAGGCTTAAAGCATAAAATTTCAAAAAGATTAACTACGTTTATATGCGCTAACCCGTACTGAACTTGTGCTTTTTTATTCTCAATTTAAATTTAATTTTCCATTGCTAAAATCTATGTTTAAATTTGAATGCAGACAATAATTAACATATTTTACTGAATTTTACTAATGTCGTTGGAAAAGACAATTCAAACTTCCGAACTTGAATATTAGCATGTATTAGCTTCTAATACTGCTTTTTTATGCTTATGAATGGCTTTTGTCATAATCTGTTTTGCATTTTCGTTACATTACAATTTTAATGCACTTGCCATTTGTTTGCCTCCAAAATGTTTTTAATTGTATTTGATTCAAATATCTTTTTTGAAAATTTCGAGTTGATTTGCAACATATCTTTGAAAATTCGAGTTTTAAAGTTTAGAACGAAAAAGTTTAATTTTCAGTGTAGCTTGATTTAGTTGTTGGGCTGATTTATAGGTTTGCTTAGTGCTGATCAGCAGCAAAATGCAAATATGCTTTTTTTGGAAGCAACAGCTGCTGCTGCCGCGACAGCTGCTGGGACAATACGAAATCTCCTAGGTTCCTGGTTTTCATTAAATCTTAAAATTAATCCTTAGCATTGTTCTTCACTGAGGTCACTTAATTTTTGTACAAAATATTCGGCCCAGACTCTAAAGTGCAATCCTACTTTCTCACCTGAAGCCGAATATGGGAAAATAATTGGGTTTACTTGTTTGCCCTATTGCAAGGGAGCGTATTGCTTGCCTTCCAATCAGGTAAATAAGTAGAGACCTTATTAATTTGCTATACTTTTGTATTATTTTTTCAAATTAGGTATATTTTGGGGAAAAATTTTCAAGTTCATAATTCTGTATACTAATTCCAATGTAATAGAATGAGGAATTACTCATCGAAAAAACTTGATAAAGTTGTTTTTATTTTAATTTTAGCAATATAACATACCTTTTACAGCAGCAACGCCAGCTAATGGAGACGTTCTTCATGTTGATATGATTAATGGTAAATCGAAATCAGCAGTTCCATCGACGTCTGTTACTGCTGAAGCTGATAATGATACGCGGAATATTTTCTTTGGTAGCGATGGCGATGGGATAACCTGGAATCAAGATCGAAATTTGGATGATGCTTCTGCAACAAATAACAGAGCGGTATGTGACGGTAAAGGCCTTATTAATGTGCTGGACGTTCGTTATATTTCTTTAAATTTTAGCTATATTTCAGCATTGTCAACATATTTAAGTAGTTGTATGTAGCATAGCTTCAGATTATTCAATGTAATTTCTTGTATAGTTCCATAAATCGAAAACGGTACATTTCTTGAAAGCTTTTGAATATAATAATGGCTTTAAAAATTAGCAAAATTATCACGTTTATCAAAGTATTTATTTTTTAGCTAAATGAAACCAAGCGCCAGTCGAATAAATCAGTCAGATCTAAAAGTAATGAAATAAAACTAAGCGTTAAAAGACGCGCAAACGATGAGGTTATTCTTATACCTTTATATTATCAGTTTCGCGCAAATATTATCAGTTCTTGCAGTTCATGTCTTAATAAGTATGGGTAAAAACCTAATTGTGATGGCGTTAATTAAATTTTTTGAAGCTTGTTTTCTCTTATTACTAGTTATTAAGTCATTTTCAGACACTCAGTAATGCTGCCCGAGCAATTACTAAAGAAGAAAAAATTGATCTGGATGAGCTTGAAAATTTTGCGCAAAACTTTAAAAAGCAGCGTATCAAATTTGGTTAGTTATTATGATATGAATTAGAGTAATCAAGAATTTAGCATCCGGTAAATTATTATTGCAAAGTACTGGTTATAATTATGAAAATGCATTTGGATTTCACCATCAATTGTGTGGAAGCCAGATAAAAACTGTTGAGGGTTTACTCAATCTGTGTGCACATGATTTCCATAATAGTAAATTCTCGTTTATGCAATTAAAAATAGGAACAAAAACTGCTGCAGGTTTCACGCAAGGTGATGTTGGATTAGCTCTTGGACGTCGATATGGTACAGACTTTTCACAAACTACAATATCTCGTTTTGAAGCACTGAATTTATCCTTTAAAAATATGTGTAAGTTACGTCCTCTGCTCAAAGAGTGGTTGGAAGATGCAGAAGCAGCACTGGCCAGTGGTGCCACGATCAGCGACCTTCTGGATGCACCTTCAAAAGAATCCCCTGCTCAGGTTTTTTTTATTTGTAATCATTTGTATATGAAACAGTTAATTTTAAACTGTTGTCAATTTCGGTGTATATAAACTTGTAATTGATAAAGACATAATCACATGGTTTGAAAAAGAAGTGATCCATTAGAAATATTTTAGCTATCGTAGTTAATTACTCTTACAAATATTACATGGTTTCTTCTTAATCATTCTTTCAGAATCAATACTCATAATATAAAGAGTGTAGCAGCAGTGAAAAAATTTTGGTGTATTTTCTATTCCTATCATAATTTATGAGTTTCAGTACATAATTTATGAGCCAAAAATAGTTAATTCAGTTGTATTTTGGCCACAGTTAATAGTCACTAAATTTTTCAGAATCCCTCAGCAGTCTTGCATTTACCATTAATTAATGATAAATTAACTGCTGCGATCAATGTTAACACTGGTGGTAGCAAAAAGGAAGTGAATACTGGGTCACCATCACCAAATGGACCTATTATTTGTGGTTCCAGTACTAGTGGAAGTGGTGATGGAGGTAGTATTGGTGGTAGCATGCCTCTAAAAAAACGACGAAAACGGACTAATTTAGATCTAGCGCAGCGTTCTGCGCTGGATGCGTACTTCGATAAAAATCCACGCCCAGATCATGATAAAATGGCAGAAATTGCTCAGCTAGTAAGACTAGATCGAGATGTAAGTAATTGTTATTTTTTGCTATTTATAGTCTTTTTATCCATCAGATAATTTTACTCTACTATCATTTCTTACGGATTATTGCTTTGGAAAATAATTGCTTCAGTACACCTGTTCATTGTTTTATAATTGTTCTGTTATTGCGGTAACTTCTAATTAACTTGTCATAAAATTATGATTGCTGTATTTTGTTGAAGTCTTTGCAAAGATATGACAAACTTTACTTGAAACAAGCAGTTATTTATTTCAGGTTGTTCGTGTCTGGTTCTGCAATCGACGCCAGAAGCTTCGTAAAGAATAGTAGTTAATCCATTAGCTGTGCATTTCGGTTTGGCTCAATCTTTTTGAATGTCAAACTTCGATTCGCTTTTTCGCCTTTTTGCCTCAAAAGTCTTTCGTGGTACAAAGTAGTCATTTCTTCGTCTTCTGATTTCTTGAAATTATTTGTGCAGGTAAAAATCATTCAGCGGGTTTATTTCAGTTTGCCTTCTTGAATTTATTTTTTCATTTCTCCACTAGACAATGGAATTTAGTCATTTCGTTACAATTTTACAAAAAATAAGAAGTAGAAAAAAAACAAGTTCTTAATTTTCTTCTTCAAATTTCCTTCAAAAGAAAAAGATTTTCTACAAAAATACAATGTTTCAAGATTTTCATCTGTATTTGGTATAAATTATAACTTCCTCAGTCCTCTGTAGATGTAACGATTCTTCGCTTTTTTCCATGGTTGACTCTCTGCCATCATATTTTTGATTCTGTGAATTTTTCTTCTTATGTGCCTTCCATTTCTTTGATATTGTGTACCTTTTTGTTGCTTGATCTACTCTCTCTAGCATTTTATACAACTTTTTGATCATCAAATGCATTTTCAAGAAAAATGACTTTTTTTGACAATGATAGATTCCTTCTACGTGTGTTATATTCGTTATTGATAATGCCAAATGTTTGCATTTTTTGGTTTCTTCCGAAATGCGGTGTAAGCAAGCCATATTTTTATTAATCATGCATTATGATACATGAGACTAGTGTGATTTTTCGAGGTTTAATTTGCAGCAATCGCAACACTATCCTTTCTGTATAAAATTAATTTTATCAAGAATAATCTTGCTCAGTCCGTTTTTGCATTAGTAGTACTATTTATGCTATGTTGAGCAGAAGCTAATTGTTTTTACATGTTTAGATAGAATATTTGAATGAGAACTTTTCTAAACTAATAGTAACTGTTATCTTTTGCATAGAACTCTGTCTATATTTGGAAAATGTATTAATTAATAATTGTATTTGCTGTTTTTGAGAATAGAAGAAGTAGTTCTATGCATAAAGTAAAGTACCGACGAATCATCCAATTTATTAATTGTTATATTTTGAGAACAGCTGGAGGTACATATGTAAAAATAGCTTTCAGTAGTGATAAATAAGATTTCGGTATTAAATGCTCATATTCTGTAGGTGATATGATATGCTAAGTAGATTATGTAACTGTTATTGACAACTGTGCCAGTATTGGAGAGAATTTGTTGATTAGACTGCATATGCATATGGTTTTTGTCTTTATTAAGAAACAAACAAATCAAAATATCAAATACTTTATATAAATTAGTTTATATATATATATGATGTTAAATTGTGGGTACTTATTTGTTAAATTAGGATAGGCTAGAAGTAGTTGGAAAAGAATTTGTTTAATTGATTTGTGTGGAATTGTAGCAATTGCAAATTTTTCACACTTTTGCATTATTAATAAATAAGAACATTGGAAAGAGGAAACTGAGTTTTAAAATATTGCAAAGATAAGAGTTTTTGTATGTTTAACTCTGTAAAAGCTAATTAAACAACTTTTATAATTTTTAAATGTAATATGAAGTATGTTTGTTAACAAACTGCGATATGAAGTAAAAAAGTAAAACTTACAAATTGTGATGTGAAGTAAGTTTTCGACCTGATATAAATGATTGCATTTGCTTGTTGATTGTCTTTACCTCCTCAGGATTGTATTTTCCAATTTCAGTTTTGTCTCTGAAAAAGCATCAAGAACAGAGTGAGTTGTCTTAATGGCATTTGTATTTATAATATTTTTTCCTACTTCACATATTATATAGCTAATTTCATGTAATGTGTGTGTACAATCATTAGTTTTATTTCTTATTATTTGACTCTACAAATTTTTGCCTGATAGATTTTGAAAAAGTCTTGTTTTACTGAAATATGGTCCTAAAGCAACCATTTTTTGTATCGCATGCGTGTATGTGTGACGTGTGTGTACATGTTTGCGTGTTGAATATTTGTGCACACTTGCGTGTTTATGATGTTTGTTTCGTATGTGAATGACGTGTATCATATGTGATTACCATAGCCAGTTTTTTCTGTTATCAAATTACGCAAGATAATATTAGTACATGCGTTTTTATTTCTTGGTTGATATCAAATGTAACATTTATCGTTGCTTGTATAAATCAAGTTGATCATATGGGTAGATCGCAATACTTTTGTACGTTATGCTTCAGCTTTTATCGTATTATATTTGAATCAGCAGCACAGGTCTCTTTTTTAACTTTATTATTAATTACAAGAAGAGTAAGTACAGTACTTATGATACAGTGATCATTCGTTATAAAAATAATGTATTGATGGGTGATCATTTTATAAAAATATTAAGAATATTGTCAGATTTCAGACAAATGATTCACTGTTGTTCTATATTGCACTTTGAGTTAAATATTTATCATCAAAGAATTAAAGTATTCTGCGTAGAGGATAATGGTAAGTTAAATAATTTAATCAGTCGGGATACCACTTTGGTGACAGTACAATAGTACATTCCAGTTGTACAAGCAGGTGACATCGGTACGACTGATGGCATTAATACCTTGACCCGCAGGGTCACAGAATCGTAAGCAGCGATTTCCTACACCCAGTTTACTGTCTGCTAAGTTTAAGTGCTCACAACATTTGCGATTATCCTACAAGCATGTGTTATATTTGCGCATATTAAAATTAACTGATTGCTTGAACTACTGTAATAGTAATTTTTAATGGGTCTGTAAGGGTTTTCAATAAACTAGCTAAGTCATTTGTTAAAAAAAGCTTATTTTTTTATGTCTAAATAGACATAACTATTTGGGACTTACAGTATAAGAAATTCAACTTGTTTTTTCTGCTATATTTAGACAAGGTTGAGATAGTGTTTTTCATATGCATAACTGTCAATTAAATGAAATGAACAAAAATTATGGGTAATCTTTTTTAATGAACTATTGTGTAAATCAAAAATATTTGGAGATTTAAAAAGTGCTGGTGTTAAAAATTTCTTTATTATTTATCTTTATTATTTTATATTCTGAACTTTATTATAGGGAATGACTTTTACAGCATTTCTACGGTTAGTAAGAATTTTTATGCAATATATAAGGGGAAGAAAGTCTCAACAATCATAATTATACCTGATTTTGTGATGCGCAATACAGCACAGCACTGATGTGTTTTAGATCACATTTGCCTGACTCAGTTGTTTTCAACAGCTGTAAAGTTTGACAAAATATATTTCTTTTAGAATATTTCAAATTCAGATGATGATAATTGGCTCCAAATAATATGAAGCAAACGTGAACTTAATGAGTATTAAATATTGAAATGGATTACACATAAAAAAGAAAGAAACTTGTAGTCTGAAGAACAAGTTCTGAAAGTAGTGATTTTAACTTTCAAGAACTAACATCAAGGATGATTATTGTTATTTTACTTCGATATTATTAAGTTTGCTTGTACGGATGCAATGTGTTTCATTTCGTTCTTAATAATATGGTAATACTATAGCTTCTTGGTTGCAACTATAGTCTTACCAAGTTTCTAGCGGCAATTTCTTCCGTTTCATACTGGCACAAATCGTGACATTCTTCAGGTACATACAGTTGGCAGCATTGTCGAAATACTAAATCAGCTCGATTCTTAGCCACACATGGAGAATAATCAGTTTCGGGGCTACCACATTTTCCCTACAAAAATAAGCTTGAGGTCTTAACAAGTAATGGGGATTTACTGACATCTATATATTGCTTCATTCGAAAAGATCTAAAAGTGAATAATTTGAAGTGCTTCCAGGATTTGTATAAAGCAGGAATGAAATTAATACGTACAAAACTCATACGTATCAAAGGATTGAAATTTGAACTGAGAAACTTATATTTTATATCTTGCAAGAATTGTGATATTTTGAAAAGAAACAAAGAACTTTTACTTGAGCATATGATTAAGTAATATTTTGAATATTTAATATTGTCAAGATATACTTTGAAACAAATAAATTGAAACCTTTTGCTCAGCCAAACAAAGAGTACTGAATCCAATGGCGTCAATAATTAGCAGGGAGATAAGCTTAGAATATATCATCTTTTTCTGAGCACTGAAATTCCGCACAAAAATAATTATTGCAAGACAGTACAAACTACTTTAGTATTCATATGCAGTCAAATATTACTGGTTTTCAAGTACATTTTCTGCATAAGTACTAACTTATCAGGTAATATTTAATATTTGCTCAAAGGAAAAACACGTGCACACGTATCGGTTCAAGTGTCGTATGTGAAAGGATGTTATATGAAAAAGAATATGAAAACAAAGAAATTAAAATTTCAAGTACATGAAATATAAAATAAAACAATGCACAAGTGAGAAAATTAGGTCTAAACAAAATTATGTAATAAAACAAAAATGAATACAAATATATTTGAAAATAAAATAGAAAAAGTACCTATTTGTTTGTACTGATCTGACTGCTATGAATCGGTTCAGGAATAGATTACGCACGTCATGTCAAATGAGAATCCTGAAATTCAGGTCAAATTTCTTCCTGCATCACCGCTGGTAATCCATAAAATTGAGAGCATATATCGAGAGTACCTTTTGCACATTGTATCTTTCCGTGTCACAAATCATTTTCACGTTATTTTGCATTTAGTTCATTTTGAAACAATTACCAAATTTTGTTCAAAATTGCGGATTTTTGTTTTGTCACAAAGAAGGTAATATTTCATTCCAAATGCAAAATATAATTATTGTTATGCATCACAAAAGTTACCCAATTAGTAGAATTACTGCAAACTAATCATTGTAATTAATTAGTCTGCAATGATAAATTTAAATTTCAAGTAGTCGACAATTGTCTATTATCAGTGAGATAATCAAAGTAACGCTTCCGAGCACGTAGTAATTACTGGAAAAGATATTAATACTGAATTCATAAACAGTAAATAAATACATATCAGAACTAATCTCATGCAAAAATTTAAAAAAACGATCACTTAACTTTTAATACTGAATCATGTAACGAAATTGATCACTTAATTTTTAATATTAAATCATGTGATTCGATTTTATTAAAATATTTCCAAAGTGATTTTAACTTGAGAAACAACAATTTTTTAGCCCATGTGCAATTTAAACTACTTGATATTTTTATACTAATAAATAATTATAATACTATTTATATTGATAAATAATGATAATACTATTTATATTAATAAATGATTGTAATACTCATTTATTGTTTTAGTATTTGAAAAATATACTCCCTGAAAAGTTTTGAGCAGAAATATAATTTAGTTTATTTTGTGTGTTTTCAAATACTGCTTAATTTAAGATATAATTTTTATTTTACATAATAAATTTTAGCAAACAAATTATGCAGATTATAATTAATTTCATTCATTAAGTGTGATCGTAATTATGTACTTTTATTATTGATAGAATATTTGACATCATTTACTGATATTATCGGTACTGTTATCTTTATGATCACTGAAATGATACAAGGAGAGCGTCCAAAATTAGTATAACTTGAAGAAATATTCTTTCAAATTGTCATCTTACAATCAACCACGATAATTATTACGTGTAATATGGCTGAGAAGCTTTTTCAAGCAAATTTTCGAAAGAAATCGCAGAAATTAAAAGTTTAAAACTTTTGTGTTTCATCTTCAGTTTTTTCAGATTTCTTTTTTTTAATTCATTGATTAACTTTTTTACGTGAAAATAAAGCTTACTTCTTTCATGCATAATATTGCAAAATTATGAAGATTTAGAATATTCTGTCAGTGATGGCTGAACTTGTATTTAATGACTGATTTGTACCATTAAAATGGGGCTTATTATTTGTTGCTTATTGCTCATAGTAAGATTCAACATCAAGCAAGCATCATTTTGTGGCAGGTCATCTATTCCATTTAGCTTTGAAGTAAGTTTACTTTTTTGGATTACTTATCATATCAGTATCAAATGATTAAAGTTATTGTTGATCCATGATAATGTATTTATTTTAGACAGCGTGAGGAAGGAATTTACTGTAATGCCTTTCACGAAGTAAGGTATGAAAAAAGCCACGTATAAACTTAACAAACTCTTTAAGGCTAAACTTAATGGTCAGCCAGTGCTAGGATGTACCCGACCAAGTTGTTTCGGATGGACTGTCGATGGTAAACCAATTTCTCGTGATTCTCAGTTTTATCGAGTGCTGGGAGCTCCTGATGGCTTTCATCGTAAAGGCATTCAGAAACCACGCAGAATCAATCATTACAACAGTTACTTTTACAAAGAACAAGTCGCTGTTAGTAGGTTTAGTGGTAAGAAAAACTGTTAAAATTTAACCCGCTGAATAATGAAAAATAATGACGACGTTTAGACGTGTGAAAAAACATTCGAGAGTGAGAGCTGCCTCAGAAGTGATCAGTGGGTTGGAGGTATTAGTCCCATGTATAGTCCAAACATTTTGCCGTAAGTTCCACGTCATTTCTAATTAAATAAACTGAAAACAAGATACTATATACGTATGTTTTCTCATACGAATCTTTGACGATCTGAAAGCATAAAATATTACTTGCAAATTTTGAAAAATCTTAGTAAATAAATGTGTGAAAAGAATTAAAATGGCCTCATAATTAGTAAAATCAAAAACATTTTCATTTAAATCAAACATTCTGTGTAATTAAAAACAAAAACATTATTACAAAAAAAATATAATTAGTTTCCACGTAACCTCAGATACTTATTTTCTTCATAAGCGTGCCTACTTCTTACAAAATAGTTTATTAAGTGAAAAAGTTAAAATTTAGAAAAAGTAATGTTCTTACACTGAAATGGTTTTTGTTTTGTTTTTTTCTGCAGTTTTCTCACCACTTATTAACTATGAGAAACTTATTCAGCTTAATATTGCAATGTTGCACTTACACTTTCTTACGTAATTCTTCCACGGAGCGGGGCGTTGCAGTAGTCAATCCTGGACAAATTGTGGTCGGTGGTGAGATTTTAAAAAATGGACGGCAATACGCATTCGATTATATTGCCGATATTCTGAATTTGAATGATCAAGATGGCAGGTATACTTTTGGCCAAATATTTATATAAAACTTTAACAATCGTCAAAAAAATATTATGAATTTAGAATTAATTTTTTCTGCATAACTTATGGAAATCAAAAAGTATCCAAGTATAGCATTTCAGTACTTTTTTTTCAGTATTTTTTTTAGTTTTTTTTCAGTTTTTTCAATATTTCTGAGTATTTTTTTCTAGCAAGTATTGTATTTCAGTGTGTCATATGACGTAACTATCCGAAGATTCATGTGCATACCGATTCCTGATGAATTATCTGTACCGAGTAAATCATTTTCGCTAATAATTTGTAAAAGTCAAGACAAAAGATATATTTCAGCAAAAAATTCATTAATATTTGGGAGAATCTAAATTGTGAGTGCTTTATATACACGTGGAAAAATTTGGAACGCAAAAGTGCTTGAATATTTGATTTATTAACAGATTTATAGAATTTTTAAGATGACAAATGAAATTTAAACTTTAGTTCAATTTAATTTTGTGTTATTTTTATGGAAAAAAAATTGTAAACAATACAAAAAATTCAAAAAAGTTCATATATTTTGTGTAAATAATAGTTTTTATCAGTTTAAGTAATGCTTTTCAGTTGATGAAACGGTAATAAGTCAAATTAGAGAAGAATTTGGAGGGGAAAATATGAATTTATTAGTTGGAAAGCGAGAAGGACTTAATAATGTTGTTTATCAGGTATTATGATCTAGGATGATCTAAAATGTAAATCAGAAATGCAATCAAAAATAATACATTGCCAAAGTATGCTTCACGTAGAAATTATAAATGCAATATTTATGAATCTGTGTGACAACAAAACAAAATGAATGTTTGAAAACAGTTTCAATTTCGTTTCAAGGCTCCTCTCCATGAAATCAAAGAGGGAAAAGTGCGACAATTTACGGCGCCACCTCAGCAAGAAGAATTACAACTTCCGATTCCACAACCGAATACAGGTTTCTATTTTAGTTAAACTTGAATGCATGTATCTTAGTTATGCAAATATATATACTTCTTTAATATATATATTTTTTATTGAAATTTTTTCTATAATTTGATTTTATATAAATACCGTCGAGGCCTGGAGTCATTTTTGTTATTAAAAGTAAACTAATTTTATAATACCACACTTGAATTCTTGTTAACGATTTGATTCTTATCAGGTTTGATTCAATCAAATTGTTGCCCTGAAAATCAGGAAGGATTTGAAATCAACTGTTGCTATGATAATCAGCAAAGTATACACACTTTTCTTTTTACTTATAACCAATAAAAGACTTTTCATCAATTTCAAACAAGTATATTTTCAATCAGAAATTTAAATTTCGGTGATTTTTGTTTACTTAAGTCACAAATTGATATTTTGGAATTATTTCTTGATTCATCGATTGAATTTTTTTTGTTTTTTTGCCCAATTTGTGACGTTGTATTGAAATATTTGGAATCATAAATGAAAAGTACTAATATAGATATATGTATATAATAATTTGATTTACAGGTGATAGTAGTCTATATTGTTTCTCAGGTGACATGATAGTCCACACGTATGATGGACAAGATATTTCACTGCGCAACGTGGAACAGAATGATTGGATTCTGACCAAATATATGAATGAAGCTAGTCATCATATTTATGTTTTTCAAATTAATTTTTTAAATTTAATTATCAGTTATTGTATTGATAAGACAATTAAGAATATTAAAGGAGTTAAAACTTAGATCTAGACAAATATTTCATTGTTATAATCATAATAATACTAATAATGATAACAATAGTAAAAGCGATAATAATAATTATTATCTTCTCATTTTATTGGTACTGTTTGCGCTACTGATCTTATCAGTGTTAGCACTATTTTGTATGGATTGCTTATTCAAGTTGTTTTATAGATTACTTATGCTCAAATAACTTCATGGATTCATCGTTTACCTGAGAAAGAAACAGAATTTTATGCTATTATTCTAGAAGATAATACGCAACTAAAATTGACTGCCAAGCATTATATTTACAAAACAACTTGTGATCACAGTAATTTTTTTGTCTTACATTAACAAAAATATATAATTATATTTAACATTAATACTAATAATAGTTAGTTATATTATTATTACTATTTTGTTTACCGAATTTTTGATACCGCTAATATAATATTCAGTATACAGTTGATGTAAAAAGCATTAAGTAGTGAAAAGTTTTCAGAAACTGATCAAAAGATTATCGTAGATACAACGCATAATGAAGCTGTTTGGGCACAAAATATAGTTGTTGGCGACTGCTTATTCAAAGTACGGAATCAAAAGGTCACTACTGGTTTACGATGTCTAATTTTCGGTTTTTAGTGAGAAGCGGTCAGAATATAATTCAAGTTATAGCTTTTCTGTAACTCGAAATCAATGCATGAAATTAGGAATTAAAGGAAATGCATTCTGAATTTAGAATGATCCATATTTCGTTAAAGTGAAAGTCACCAAGATAGAACGTGTACGTGAAAAAGGCATCTATGCACCTATGACAAGTACCGGTGATATTATCGTAAATGGCATTTATGCATCGTGTCATACTTTGCTCGATAATTATTTCATACAATCGTCATTTTTCGAAGTAATACTTTTGTTTCAAAAATATATTATAATTTAATTTTTCGACTTTTCAAGTATAGTTGAATGTTTACAAATGTTATCTAATGATTGGAATCAGATAATTAATATTCATATTTTTTAATAATTAATTAATATTTTGTTATTTCACACGTACGATCAATTTATGCTTTAAGTTAAAAAAACAGTACTGTTGATTTACAGTTAATATTGGTTTAGGGACTGGAAGGAATAACAGATTGGTTGCAATGGTTGATAGGCTGGGAAAAGTCACCATTGCAGGTCATATAATAATTTTATTTTATTTTTAAGACTTGAGAATTTTGTATCAAATTAATCAGTTGTATCTGCACGAGATTCATTAATAAAAGATTTAAAAACAAAAAAATTTGAAAGGTCAGTAGTTTAAAGTTCAGTTTTATTTCAGAAAGATATTCCAAGTGGAATGGACATTATTATTCAAATGCTTGATCTCATTCTCCCTTCTAATTTTTATTCTTTCAATAGATAAACATTTTTTATAATTCAAATATTTGTTGCAAATAAAATTTTCTGTTTTATGTGTTTATTTATTGTTATATAATTTCTTACTTATTTTTCTGAATACTTTTACTTAATCATAACAAATTCAGAATGATCAAATGATTAATTATTAGTGTGATCGAAATTTCTTCTGGAAATATGCTGAATTTATATTTTTTGTTTTTACAAAAATATTTTTTAGTTAATTTTATTATTGCTCAAAACTATATAATTTTAATGTTCGCACAGATTTTGTTTATAATTTATCATTTCGATCAATTACTAATTTCTTATTTTACTTAATAAAATTACCTCTGAACTGCATACTTTGAAGGCCATTTATG